TAGAGCCCAGGTTGGCGTACACCGAAACCGACGGAAGATAGGGCAAACAAAAAACTGTGTGAGGTGGTGGTGCAGCTACAGTGGATGGGAAAAGAAATATCCACCCACTGCACATATCTTTTACGGACTGGAATTTTTTATCAATGTACAACTTTTTGATAGTATCGAATGTATCCCAGTAATCACGTATTCTACTAGAATACTCACAAAACGTATGATTTTTAAGTAAACTATCTAACTGAAAATGTATAAGCTAACCCGAAACGGATGCAGAAGCTAACATCCCATTATCGGAAATAACTTAAGTATCCTTGCCAGCATAAATAACTATAGGCCTAGTAGTCACCTGGGTTAGCACGACCCTGAAAATGTCCTGCATGGTAGCGTAATAATGCAACGAACTTTGAGCAGTCAATGACACTAACAGTTTTTGTTGCTAAAATGATGTGTAAATTTGGCATACTACTAAGCCTGAGTTTATATACAAAAAAATAAGTGGCTCATTTGGAAGGGATATAGCCCGTCAACCGAGCGGTGCTACAGGCAAATATAGCATTTGAACACAATTGGACGAACCCCACTTCATACTGCCGACAGCACGCCTCCCGAAAATCCGTAACGGGCGACAACTCAGCGTGAATGGGTCGGCCACCAAACCACCGGCAGTTGAGCATTTTTACCGCCTTCTCTGCATCTTCTTCACGACGAAACTGTACCGGACAATCAGAAAAAAGGGGCGTACCTTAATATAGACATTGCCTACAAGATGATCACCAAGGTTATCACAAACGTTCATTTCTTCGATTTCACCGTACTACGAATGGGAAACAAGATAAAAATTTAAGGAATATACTTTTTCTTCACATTCCACAAAAACTTCCTCGAAAAACTCGTCGAACAACTGTTGTGCTTGAACCTCAGTCATATTCGCCACTGCATTCTACAAAAATGTAAAAATATCGAATCCTTACCGGTTGGCCCGAACTATGTGGAGCTATATAAAGATTTTGAAGGAGTATAGTCTAAAATCTGAAAATTAAACCCAATAAACCTACCTGACTGAAAGTTGGTTTATTATGAAGGCGGGAGCACTGCTCACCATGGCGGCAAGCACCGATTTTGAAGTAAAAGGAGCAGTTAACTCTTTAAGATACATTAACAACAAAGATAAGGCATACTTGTCCTTCTCTGTCCCGAAGATTGAAGCTAAGTACTCAGCCATCCGTCGTCCGTCGGGCGATATACAAACATGCCGCCACGCCTTCCTACAAACAAGGTGTTCCTGGGTTTACGGATTTCCAGCGTTACTCGGATTGTTGAAGGAAGAACGATTCTGGGCCTCCGAACATGAGTGCAATACCAAAATAATCCGAGGTATTATAGTTAACCTTAGTTCGTAGCGCTTTGAAGAAATTTGATAAGGGTAGAACTTGGGCATTACTACTGTAAAAAAATCCACACGGTTGGAGGAGAATCCTAAATGCTCAGCAAAGGAGCTTAACACGGAAAAATAGGGGCAGCTACGGGGAGAATTCCACAAGCATATATTGGTAGGTTCCGTGTGGTTAACTGTGATGCTCCGAGCGGGTTGAAGGTCTGTGAAGACGTGTTACTCCTTGATTGCTGGCTTTCCTTGAAGGTTCACAACTCACACGTCGAAGCAGAACAAGGGAGATAGGTTAAGGTTTTATTGATGGATAGTAGGAAATGGAAGCATGATGATATGTCCCAGTAATTGAATAGAAGAAGAGGATCAAATATGCAGTTCTGGATAAGAGGGCAGACCTAAAAAATAATAAACGATAAGTAAAATATTACCAGGAGGTGGCTAAAACGTGCGCATAAAGATGGCGGATGCGACAAAGCTTCCCGTCCAAAGAGCCACCTTCTTCAGTATTTGAAACAAGAGATTTGGATAATATGGTCAATAAGAATATCATCGCCGGAGAATAA